TTAGTGTCAAGGGATTAGGTATTTCCTCACATTAATTGTAATAAGTTCCAGCAGAAAGAGGGTGGTATTATTTTCATACACAGAATGAGGCCATTTATAAAAAGTATACATTGAGAAGTTTTGCCTCCCACCTGTCTCCCTACGCATTCCACCCCATCAAGTAACCATTTTTATGTTTGTGATCCCTTCATTTTTAAAAATATAAATACAAGCAAACACAATATATGCTCATATTTCTGTTTCTTATACATTCCATCATATGTATAGACTAAAACCTAACCAGTCCCCAGTAGATGGCCACATGAGTTATTTCTAGTCTTTTGTTATAATGGACAGTGCTGCAGTGAATCACCTTGTATATGCATTATTTTGTACTTGTTACAGGTATATCTGGAGGGTGAATTCTCAGAAGTGGGATGGCTGGGTTAACAATAAATGCAGTTGTAATTTTGATTAATATTGCCAGATTGCCCTCCACAGGGGATTTATGCCATTTTGCATATCCACCAGCAAAGGTGGAAAGTCCCTATTCTTTATGGCCTTGTGTGTACAGTATGTTGTTACACGTTTGTATTTTTGCCAACCTAGTAGGTAAAAAATAATTACTCAGAAGTGGTTTAATTTGCATTTCTTATATGAGTAAGGTTGAGCATATTTTCATATGTTTGCATTTGTTTTTCTGCAAACTACCTGTTTAAAGTTCTTTGCTTGTTTTTCTCTTTCTTAGTCTTGATTTCTAGGAAATCTCTATAGTGAAGACATTGATTCTCTGTCCAAGATATGACATGTTTTTCTCAATTTGTTTTTGCTTACGGTGGTTTTGTTTTGCTATGCAGAAGTCATGCAGAAGTATCTGGTTTTTTTTTGGCCATATCTATATTTTGAATTATAGTTAATAGTTTTTCCTTAAATTTTTTTGAGTAGCTAGCCCTACAGGCACACCACCCCCCTTGGCTAACTTTTAATTTTTTGTAGAGACAGGGTCCTCCTATGTTGCCCAGACTGATCTTGAATTCCTGGGCTCAAGGGTTCCTCTCGCCTCAGCTTCCGAAAGCACTGAGATTACAGGCGTGAGCCACCGTGCCCGGCCAATTTTTTTTTTAGTTTGTTTTGAGGTGTAGTCTCTGTTGCCCAGGCTGGAGTGCAGTGGCGTGATCTCGGCTCACTGCAACATCTGCTTCCTGGGTTCAAGTGATTCTCCTGCCTCAGCCTCCTGAGTAGCTGGGATTACAGGTTTGCACCACCACACCCAGCTAATTTTTGTATTTTTAGTAGAGATGGGGTTTCACCATATTGGCCAGGCTAGTCTCAAACTCCTGACCTCAAGTGATACACTTGGCCTCCCAAAGTGCTGGGATTACAGGTGTGAGCCACTGCACCTGGCCCAACATTCTTAAATAAATGCAAAATAATCTGAGTATGATGTTTAGGGTTTTTTCTAGGCTTACCATAATTTTGAAGTCTTTATACTTTCATACGTTCATGTTTTATTTAAACATTTGCTCTTAATTTAGGATGAGTTTATACCTTTAAAAAAAAGACAGCCTTCTGAAAACTTTTTTGTGAAGCGGTACAGGAATATAACTCTTGTGAATTTTGAGCATATTGAGTTTGCCTTCCAGAGCAATGTGTGGAATTGCTTAAACATGCCCATTTTTCTAATCCTAATTTTGGTACTGGAATAAGAGAACAGAGTGCAGGACTGCTTGGTTTATGGTAGCTCTTATGTCAGATTTGCTTGGGATGAGATGAGTAACTGCCTCTGTAAATAACCTCAGGCTGCATTGCCTCTGCACGTGAAGGACTAACGTGGCACTATTCAGATGTGGCACTATTCAGCCAATGGCCAGTTTGGTTATATTCAGGGAAATGTCTTGGGTTTTTGGTATAAATAGGAATTTTTGTTTCTCAGAATTATTTTATAAAACTTCTGGCTGGATTTAAGTATTAGGCGGTATTCCAAGGGGTGATAAAATGTTTTTACAAACTTAATGGGACTATTTTTATAATTAACACTTTATTATACATGTACTATGAGGATTAAACTCTGCCTCATAAATTATTCTGACAGGTGCTTTGCACAGAGTAAGCCTGCCAAAGTGGACATTCTTGTATCTAATTCCGAGCTTACTCATACTGACCAGGAAGGATGTGCACATGCCACCTTTGACAGCTCTGGTGGAGAGCCTGCCTCTGCTCTTGTGCATGGACCTTCATGCCTTCATTGATTAGGAATAATATTTTGGAAGAAGTGGTGTACACTGATAACCCCCAAAAAGGAGAATATAGTACAGCCTGTCTTAAGAATTCTGTTTCTGCCTCTTCTTATCTGAGAAGTCATTTTATGGTTTATGCCTAACCAACCATGATTCCTGTTCAGTGTTACGGGCACTTTTTCATGTAAGATGAACTTAAGTGATGTAGTGATCCTGAGTAGGTAACAAACAGCTTTAATGTGGATAGCACAGAGTAAGTCTTTGAATTGTTTTAAAATAATGTGAATGTTGTCAAATACATCCTTTTTTGCAGTTAGTGAACAGATTATCATTTGAGCTGGAATTTTTGTGAATTGTAATTGTTAGGTGCATGGAAATATAGGGTAGGCTAGAATTAACATATAAGCTAAAAGCAACAGCTTTTTATCTCTTACCTACATAATTGAATTGATTGGCAAGGGGTAGAAGTTTGGTATCTGTTGTCAAAGGTAACACTACAGAAGATAACTACTAGATCTAAGTAACCAAGGTAAGAACATAGGTCTTTTAGCTGAGCAGTTGATGCCGAAATTTGGGCTTTTTTGTTTTGTAGTTAGGGTCTGGTTTATGAGAGAGCATTCTGGACTTAATCTCTTCAGCAGCCTCTTGCATAAATCACATTGATATTCCTTTTCCTGCCTCCAGTTGTTTTCACGTCTGTATTTTTCTCCTGTTATATTTACATGTTCAGTTATTTAACCTTTGAGGAATGCAAATGAAGGTTGTGTCTGAAAGTCAAGGTTCCAGATATAAAATTCTGTCTTCCTTTTTAATCATTAACTTGTTTCAGAATATTTGGTGAATGCAGCGGTGATGATACTAGTGTAAATAACAATGGAAGACACTTGGCTTTGGCTAGGTGTAGTGTTAACAACAGGTGCTTAAAAAGTGGCCTGAGGGCCGGCCTGTTAGAGCTCCTTTGGCTGTGGAAGCTAGTTTGTGCTGAATGTGGTGCCTAGAGAAAAACCCTTCAGAGGTCATATGGTGTGTTCTCTCTCTGCCAGTCAGTTGAGGCTCCTTACCCAGCTTAGCAAGAGGTTTCTGCCCTGGTCCTAAACAGAGAAAGTAAATGGGAAACTTTATCTGAAAGATTATTCAAAAGCAGGAAATAAATCACCTTGGTTAGCATGTTAATAATTTGAGACTATAAGTTACTCACTACTTTATCAATTCAACAAATATTTATTGTCTATACTCTTCTAAGCAGTGGAGTGAACAAGACAGGCCAAGTTCCTGTTTTCATGGAACTTATGTTCTGATGTTGTGAGGCAAATAACAAACATGTAAAAAAAAATAATATTGAGTAATAAGTCCTATGAGTGGACAGTAAGTAGTAAAGTGCTGATGTGCAAGGGACAGCCAGTGAGCCAGGATGGCTGATGTGTAGTGAACCGAGGCCGAGAGTGGAGGAAAGTGAGGTGGGAGAGTAAGCTGGAGAGAGAGTTGGAATTAATTTTTAACTGTAGTGGGAAGCCACTGAAGGGCTTTCATGAGAGGCGTGAACTAGTCTGTCTTCTACATGAGATCACTGGCTCTTGTCTGGGTTGATAAATAAGGCTTGTGTACTTGTGTAGGGAAGAGAAGACTGTGGCTTGGCTTGGGATCATAGCAGTGGAGTTGATGAGGAATGATTGGTTTTGGGACAGAATGCCCCAGAGTGAGGGAAAGAGAGGATGACCAAGGATTTTGGGCTGAGTGATTGAGCTGGCAGATTGAGGGAGGAATGGAGATGGATTGGAGTGAGCATTGTATTCTGGTCATGGTAAACTTGCCAGTGTATGTAAATCATCCAAATGGACATGGTGACGAGGCAGTTGGATCTGCAGATCTCAAGGGTAGAGAGGAAGGCAGAGCTGGAGATGTAGATATGGGAGCCTCTGGCCTGTGGAAAGAGTGTATGATCACCATCCTAGACTAAGAAGAATGCACATGGAGAAGAAAAGATGACCAGCGACAGAGCGCTGGGTAGAGCCAGCAAAGGAGACCTGAAAAGGATGGCAGACAGGGTGAAATAAGGTCAGGAACGTGTGCTGTGGCATTACTGAAGCCTAAAAAGAAAAACCTCGTGTTTCAGGAAGAAATCAACTTACAAATGCTGAGGAAGAAAGGCTAGTAGTGATGATTATTACTCATTACCTAAGCATCTGAGTCATTTCTGTTATTGTCTGAGAAGCTGGAGAGACAAAAAAATAGGTTTTGTAGGTAGCTTAGGGCCTAGTCAGAACCTCTATTTTAACTCTAAAGTGGAACTAGAACTTCCATAAGTGTTTGAGGATGAGCTGGTTAATACAGGTAAAGGCTCATATTCTTCCATCTGCAGAAAGCATAGTGAGGTACGTCAGGATTCTAAGATGTTTAATATGTATTTTTAAATAGGTTGTTTGGTTAGAACTGAAATGTCTGCTATACTTTTATTATCAAATATGTTGATCCATTCTTCCTGTTTTGATGTGAAGTCAGTTTTGTTGAGAACCTCTATTTACTTAACTCCAAAGTGAAACTAGAACTTCCATAGGTGTTCGATGATGAGCTGGTTGATACAGGTAAAGGCTCATTTTCTTCCATCTCCAGAAAGCATAGTGAGGTACATCAAGATTCTAAGATGTTTAATATGTATTTTTAAATAGGTTGTTTGGTTAGAACTGAAATGTCTGCTGTACTTTTATTTTCAAATATGTTGATCCATTCCTCTTGTTTTGATGTGAAGTCAGTTTTGTTGACTGCCTCTTCTTTTCTTATCCCCAGAGGTGACCAGTCCCGGAAGAGAGCTGGGGATGAGTTGGCTTATAGTAAGTAATGATATTCCTTCCCATCTTGATGGTTTTGTGATGTAAAGCAGCCATATTAATGCACTGTGATAACAGTGCATTGAATTTGATGATACCCATGTTGTTCTCATAAGGCACTGCTTGTAATCAGGGTGCTTTGCATGCTGTGGCAGCTCCAGCTGGTAGTGATGGTTCTCAGGGAGTTGGCAAGAGGCCACCAAGTTCTTTAGTTTCTACTGGGGTGACATTGTAGCCCAGTCTTAGTGCCTTAGGATCTCAGTCCCCTTTTACTTCCCTCCACACCACATGGTTTTGAGGATTTTTTTTTAAAGCCTTTTTTGGGGAGTTGGGAGAGGAGTGAGAAATGTGTTGAATAAACAAGATTCCTGCCACTATCAAATGCTGTCTGCTCTTCATACTTTTTCCTGTTCTGATGTTTTTTCAGACAGTTCGTCAGCGTGTGCAAGTTCCAGGGGGTACAGATAGTGAATGTACTTTCCTTCCTGAAAAGAGGACACACTGGAGCTGCAGAGACTGTATTCAGAGCACAGTGGGGGCTGCAGACACTCAGGAGCTCTGTCACAAAGCTGTTCGTGGAAGAGGATGTTGGACTTCTTGGTTTGTAATTTTAAAACAAAAACTAAACAAAAAACAAAAAAAGTTGCTGCTAGACTTGGGGGTGATTTTGAAATGGGACAATCTTTTAATGAGTTTATCTACAGATTCTGTGACGAAAAAGCATCTCAGAAAGTGACCATTTCTAAGTGAAATCTGACAGCCAAAATCAGCAGCTTCCTCCAAAAATAGAAGAGAAGAATTTTTTTTTAAAGCACTTGTTTTGTTCATTTGTGGACTTGGCATTTTGGTGTATTGGTTTCACATGTCAGGATCTCTTTTGCTTTAAAACCAAGCAGATCATTACAATACAGTATTTTTCACCCATAACCAAAACAACCCCTTTTAAAAGAGTTGGTCTTTGTTTAGCATTAGAAAGTCTTAATAAAGGAAAATGCTAACTCTGCTTTTGCTAGAACTTTCCCCCATCAGTTCACAACTTTTTTCTACTCTGTGCCTTGAGCTTTGTGCACTTTGCAACTGTGTGACCATGTTGTCAAACTCCTCCTGGAGAAGTGTATGGTATCTAAACTCACCCACCCAGATGGCAGGTGTGGCCCTGTAGCAGGATGCTAATTAAGTGGGAAAATATACACCTGTTGCACATTGGTCAGATTTTCCCCTGGTTCACCAGAGCATATTCATGTTAATGTTGGGGACCAACTCTCATAGAGCATTTCCATTCCCTGTGCCACTTAACACGATGTCACCAGCTGCTGTAGTATTGGCAGTACTCTAGTTTAGGGATGGGCGGTATTTTAGCTCTGAAGTTCCCCTTAGTATTATTGAGAGCTACTTCCTGTAATGCTCTAGGAAGCAGATAGTTATTAAGTCCAAATACACCCAGTGGTGTGGGGTTCCTGATCACTTCATTTTAAATGAGTGAGATAATTACTTAAAAAAAGTCTGTCATTTGAACGTTATATTTGAGTGTGATAGGGAAGAAGTAGCACTGCTGTCTTAAGGCTCCCTTCTAGCTGTGGCAAAGCTATATTTCTGTTACTCTACATCCACAGTGCTTTTTAGTCCTTCATAAAAGGTTGTTGTTGTAAGCCCAAGAAAATAGATGCAGCAAAAGAAAAATACTTTTCTTCTCAATTTTGCTTGAATCTTAATTGAGCATAGGCTTCTCTACTAGGCAACATCAGACTAATAATATTTACCTCTTCAGAGAACTTGAGGGGAAAAGAAACATCCCAGGGATATTGTTGCATGTCTGCTCTGCAGGTTTTTCATAAAGCTGCCTCTGCCAATTCAGTTTGTTATTTTTGTAGGGGAGTAGTGTGAATGGGAGAGTTAGAAGTGAGATATTGGGAGCAAGTAAGTCACCCAATAATAGAAGTCCTTGATTTGCAAAACTGTTATGCAGAGAAGTAAAGATAAAGGTTGTCAGATTTATTTTTTAAAGTACTTAACCAGAGCTGGTGGATTTTGTGGACTTTAATTTGACTCAGTTCACTCTGTGAGCATCCTGGATTGCATCGATGAACACTGAATTACTGTAAGAACGTAGACAGGCTCTCACTATGACCTGGACAGTTTACTACACCGGTAACATTCTAATATCAAGGAGAATTCCATTCATCATGGAACATTCACATTTTACTTTTCTCAATGGAATGCTTGCTGCAGGCTTACAAATCACACCTAGAACTGAAGTCTGAGTGGTGTTAATGATTTTTCTGAAAGGAATAAAATTGGAATGTTTCTTTAAATGTGGAAAATTTCTTCAGTATCCTAATAATATACCCAAATGCGTTTTTCTGGGAGAGAGCATTCTTTTACAAAAGAACTTTCCCTATAAAAGCATCACACTATAATGTGAATTGGCATTAAAATCTTTGGATGCTTTTGCATTATTAAGTTCATGGAGAAATATTTTGTATTTTACTATGTATGTATTAATAAAAAGTGGGCAAAGTAAAGTCTGCAAAATTTAGCTTCTCTAAATTTTTGCTCAGTGTCTGCAGCTGGCTATGGGTCAGGGCTTAGTACAACAAAACCTTGCCTGGAAGGCACTCTAGAAAGGTTGTACATAGTCTCCCAGTCTGCATGTCCTGGCTGTTAATCATCTTGGCCCCTTGAGGCACATCGCAGTATGAAGGACCTGTTTAAGTTGAAATAGACTTGGTTATTTATTGGGACTCTTAAAAATTCTGAGTTTGCAATATGAGAGGAAATAAGATTTCCTACCCCTTCCTCTCATTTTATATTGACTATTTGCCAGAAAGTATTTTCTTCTATTTTCTTGTATTTTGCTTTTGAGATGGAGTCTCACTCTGTCACCCAGGCTGGAGTGCCGTGTTGTGATCTTGGCTCACTGCAACCTCTGCCTCCCGGGTTCAAGTGATTCTCCTGCCTCGGCCTCCTGAGTAGCTGGGATTACAGGCATGTGCCACCACGCCCGGCTACTTTTTGTATTTTGTTTTCAGTAGAGATGGGGTTTCACCATGTTGGTCAGGCTGGTCTCAAACTCCTGACCTCAAGTGATCCACCCGCCTCGGCCTCCCAAAGGGCTGGGGTTACAGGTGTGAGCCACTGTGCCTGGCCTTTTGTTTTGTATTCTTGCCAGTACAGTATATGGTTTTTCTACCCCAATTACATACTGGCTTTTGTACCAACATCACTAAAGGCCCAGATCATTGAAGATAGAAAACTGTACATGCAGGCTGATTGTCTGGTTAGTCAATGGCCAGTTTGCTTAAACTGTCTAGTATGTATGTGCAGCCTGAAACTAGCTCCTTAAAAGGAAAGCCAGGTCAGTCATCTTGAAAAAATGACATGTAAAAGTAAATAATTGTTTTGAGAGACGGTACATATTTTAAAGATTGGCCTTAAGCTTCAGTAACATTTTCATTTTGTGACCTTTTGTTGTCACAGCTGTACCTTAACCTGACAGGAATTACTAGTGTTTTTTTTGTGGGGCAGAAAGCAAAACCTGGTGTTGTGACTATTATCCTAATAGTTCTTAGGCAAGGTTAGTAAGAAGCAACACAAACCCAGATGCATGCATTGTGCATTATTTTGTAGACAAGTTACTTTCCTTCTGTCCCTTTAACAAATTTGTAGCAATTACCCTCCCTTTCTTTGGGGTCTAGAGTGAAAGCTAATTTGTGGGTAGATGAGATTGCAGAAGAATGGATGTCCATGGCTGTGAACACTGCACATCCATCTCCAGTGCTCACACCTGTGCAGCTACCACTCCCTGGCTGCATGCCATGCTGTCGGGTTGCAGATTTGCACACATAAATTCCTCAGGAAGAGTTTGCATGAGCATCACCTCGCAATATTCTGTACTGACCAAACAAGGGATTTGAATGTTTTTCAGCACAAAAGGATGACTTCCGAGTGGTGGTCTGTACACATACTAGCAAAGGTAATGGTGATCTCGCAAACAAAATTGGTTTCTGCAGTTGGAAGTGAGCAGGAGCACTTGTATTATAGTATTTAAATAATCCTGGTTAATCTCTTTTTAAGCAGAGTAACCCTTCCAGATTTTGTCTTTTTATTATTGAGCCTGGCTTTATTTTCTTCTTTTTCCCCCTTTTTTATAGCAGTTAATTATTTTTGTGATTATTATACAAGAAGGATTGCCCTTGAGTTAAAATGTTATTGTTTCATAAGCAGCTATTAAAATTACTAAGCATTGTTTTATGAAATACACTAATCTGAGATACTGAAAAGCTTTGCAACTAAAAAGCAAAACAACCTACATTAGTCATCTAGCTATTGTTTGGATGTTTTGAGTTGATTTTTTTATGGTGCCTCTTTTAGCTTGGAATATTATGTTTACTTTAATTCAAGTCTAGGCCTTTTAAAGGGTCCTTAAAAATAAAGTTCGGAATGTCAATCCCTTTGACACCTATTACAGGTTTATAGGACCTTTTTGGTTGTGATTACTGTTTTCAATACAATTGTGTAAATGAAGTTCACTTTTGTCAGAAGTTAAAATGGAGGTCATAGGAGTTCATGGAGAAATAGCTCTCCTATTTCTTTCATTACCCCCATTGAAATTCACCCCAGTTTCTGGCCACAAGAATATGAGAAAGGAACCCTGTTCTTTTCCAAGGGAAATTATCCTTCTCTGTCCCCACTGTTGATTAACTGAAGTCCCAGACACCTTCCTTCCTCCACTGGCCAAGACCCACCTTGAACCTCTTTTCAGAGCCCAGTGGCATGAATACATGTACTGTTTCTGCTTCTGTTGACGGAGTGGCTATGGGAGTATTAAAGGAAATGCTAATTCGAGCTTCATTCTTAGGGGAACCTACTATATATTGCATCCCTGCTGGTTGGAAATTATCTTCATCTCTGGACTGCATTGTTTAGAAAAATGTAATGGCTTACGATTCTGAGAACTTTATAGTGTGGCTCTGGGGTTAAGAATTCTGTGGTTTGAAAAAAAATAAATATTTTGTATTGATTCTTACATGTCATTTCAATGTTGTGACTATGTACTAAATGCAGTAAGACTGTGGGTGTTCTCTTAGAAGAGTGCGTTTTGTTAAACAGATGGCAGATCACTCTCATTAGTCCTGTTTGTCAATATTACAGCCACGCACTTCAGGATAACTTAATCAAATGAGAAGTCATGGGAAGCTATGGCTATTAACAGGAATGCTTAAGAAAAATTTGGAGGGCAAGCACAGGCAAGAGGCTTTTGCCACTCACTAGCACAGCCAGAGCAAGGATAAAGCAATGAAGTCTTGTGCCTAGTGGTGCTTGTTTGTCAGAAGCCATAGTGAGCTCAGCACAGGGCGTTCTGTACATCATCTCATTAATCCAAGAAAAACAGAATGGCGGAGGAAACTCCTACTGACCTGGGATACAAAGCCACTGACTTTGGCTCTTGATCTTTTGGTGGGTTCTGAATCACTCCTGTATTAGGGCGTATACTATCACTCTAAAACATTGTGGTGAATGAAATAAATCTTGTACAGATGTCCTTGGCCTTGTTATGTTATGTTATAAATCCTGTACAGATGTCCTTGGCCTTAATACCTGGTTCACTGGAACTTTGTTATAATATAGAACATTTGATTTTGCTTATAGCATATTAATATTGCCTCCTAAGTGACAGCCACACTGAGCACACGTCTGTTACCACAGTTACTTAGCCTGCAGGGTGAGTGTTGATCTTGACTTCTGTAACCAGTGCTAAAAAACTGTGTGTAACAAAATACATATGATCATATCTATTCTATATTCATATATAGTATGGATACGGATATCAGTATATTTATAATTTTTGTGTTTTAAACCCTAGTTTCTTCTGTGGCCCTTTAACCAACTTTTGGACTTAGGTTGTTTTTTTGTTTGCATTTATTGGTACTATGGTTTTTTATAACCCTTTGTGTTTTCTTGCTGTGAAATTAGTGTCATTCCCTAGGTTATTTGTAACCTTATCTACCATTTGGTTATCACATATGGCAGAGTTCAGCGACTCTGACAATTTCCATTTTCACTCCCCTGCCCCACAGTTAAGTAGGGTGCCACTTAACCTCCCTCCCCTTTAGCAGGTTTGTTTTTTACTAAGTACAAACCTTTTCTACTAGAACCAGCTGTGTGTGTGTGTGTGTGTGTGTGAATTTTATTTCTTCTTTTGGTCTGTTTCTCAATAATCCAAAATTCTAAAATACCTTGAATATCAAAAAGCATGATAGTAGAATGAATATCACACATAATAGAGCCTGAGAGCAACTAGCTTAACTGGTTGTAATCTTGAGTAGGTTTTTTTTTTTAATCTGTTTTCCTTTATTAAGCCTTCTCCCTCCCTAAATTGTTAAGCCAGAAGAGCATAATAATTCAAAACTTTCTAGTAATGTACCTACATGTCTAATAGTGTACCTCGAAATATATAAAGAAAAAGTGGCTCACACCTGTAATCCCACCACTTTGAGAGGCTGAGGTGGGAAGATTGCTTGAAGCCAGGATTTGAGACCAGCCTGGGCAACAAAGACCCCATCTCTAAAAAAGAATTTTTAAAATTAGGGCCAGACATGGTGGCTCATGCCCGTAATTCCAGCACTTTAGGAGGCTGAGGTGGGCATATCATTTGAGGTCAGGAGTTCAAGACCAGCCCGGTCAACATGGTGAAACTCCATCTTTACTGAAAATACAAAAATCAGTGGGGCGTGGTGGTGCATGCCTGTAATCGCAGCTACTTGGGAGGCTGAGGCAGGAAAATCGCCCGAACCCGGGAGGCAGAGGTTTCAGTGAGCCGAGATCGCGCCATTGCACTCCAGCCTGAGCAACAAGAGTAAAATTATCTGAAGTGCAAAAAAAAAAAAAAAAAAAAAAAAGTTGAGCCTGGCACAGTGGCCCCTCACCCGTAATCTCAGTACTTTGGGAGGCTGAGGCAGGTGGATCACTTGAGGCCAGGAGCTCAAGACCAGTCTGGCTAACATGGAGAAACTCTGTCTCTACTAAAAATAAAAAATAAAAAAAAACTAGCTGGGCATGGTGGCACACACCGGTAGTCCCAGCTGCTCGGGTGACTGAGGCACGAGAATCACTTGAACCCAGGAGGTGAAGGTTGCAGTGGGCTAAGATTGCACCACTGGACTCCAGCCTGGGCAACAGAGTGAGACTGTCAAAAAAAAAAAAAAAAGTTGGGCATGGTGGTACCTGTTTTTAATCCTAGCTACTTGGAAGGCTAAGGTGTGAGGCAGGAGGATTGCTTGAACCCAGGAGTTTGAGGCTTCATTGAGCTATGATGATACCACTGCATTTCAGCTAGGATAACAGAGTGAGACCCTGTCTATAAAAAAATATAAAAAGTTAAAAGAAAAAAAGACTACAAAAAGGAAAAATGAACACAACTACAAGGAGAAATAGATCAATCTACCAGCATAAGGGGCATTTTCAACAGACCCCTCTCAGTAATTAATAGATCTTGCAAAGACCAAATCAGGATTAAGGACGTACAAGATTTAAATAGTACAGCTAATCAGTTTGATCTGACAGATAAATACACACACATGTGTAAAACATGTTGTACCTTTCAGTAGGAAAATAAACATTTTTGCAAACCAAATCTAACAGTGTATTCAAAATGTAACAAATGATGACTGAAATGGATTGGTCTCAGGAATACAAGGTTGGTTTTTTAATGTAATTAAGAAATGCTGTTTATAAAAAGTACCTAAGAAATTTTAAAATGAGAAAATGATGAAAAAAACTTAATGGACCTAAATAAATGTAGAGAATATAAGGGGTAACACTCAATATTATCTAAATCTCAACTTTTTCTCCAAATTGCAATTCCAAAAAAGTTCCCAGTGATTTTCACTGTGGAACCTGACAAGTTGATTCTTCAATATAAATGGAAGAGCAAAGGGCCAAGGATATCCCAAGACCTTTCTGAATGGATTGTGAGGGGAACGAGCACTACAAGATTCTAACACTTACTGCCAAAGATGGTGATTAAAACAATGACTTTGGAGTAGGGGAGAATTTCATCAAGATAGAAAATGCAAACTATCAATTAAAAGATAAGTACTTTGGCTACATTGATCATACATACTTAATACCAAACATACTGTAGAGTGAAAAGAGAAGCCAAATCTGGAATAAGATATAAATATTGATAATATATACATAACTGCTAAAGAGCACCTGAATGCAAATCAGCAATGAAAACAACTCAGGAGAGACAGACCCCAAACACTAGCAGGCATTTCACAGAAGAAACAGAAATGGCCCATAAATGTAAAAAGATGTTCAGCCTCATTAGACATCAGAAAATGCACATTCAAACCACAGATACCGTTTCCTTGCTGACAACTTGGCAGAAATTATGAGAAGTCTGAAAATAACAGTCTGAGAGATTATGACAACAAACCATCTGTTGTTGGCGTGTAAATCTATACTTTGGAGAACAGTATTGTCTAATGAAATTGAACATAGGCATCTCTTATAGCCCACTATTTATACTTAGAAAAACTCATGTGCATGTGTACCAGGAAACATATGCAGGAATGTTTATAACAGCATTATGTGTAATAATTACAGGGAATGAAGGAGGGAGCCAAATGCCCATCTAGCATACAGTGAATAAATGAAGTGTATGCTAGATACAAGTGTATGCTAGATAGTGGAATTCTCTAGAGTAGTCAAGGCATCATACCACTGTGGGCTTCAACATGCATGCATCTCAGAAATCATATCGAGTGAAGTCAGAATAGAGCCAGCATGGGTACCTTCAGAATCAGGAAAAACTGTGTTGTTTAGGGAGTCATACACAAGTAGCAAAGCTATAAAGGAAAGACAGTTATGAACATTCAGGAACGTAGTTTCCTCGGGAGGGTGGTGGAGGGGAATGAGAACGGAGGGGAGAACGGGGGCTTGTAAGCGCTTAATACGAACGTTTGGACCATTCCAAACATGCCAGTTCTCTGAGTTAATGTATATTCAGTGCAAAGCCAATTCAGATAACCAACGGTATTTATTTATATAATCTAAAAAACTCATGGAAGTATAAACAGATGAAAATAGGAAAATCCCCACTGAATGTGAAAAAAATGGAAGGAACTTGCTGTACCAAAAAATACATCCCGTTCTAAGTGCAATTAAGTTAAAACAGTTATGCCAGTGTAAACAAACAAGTCAATGGAAATAGTTTAGAAAACAGAAAATAACTCAAATTTAGAATTTAGAGTACACTAAAGGCGGCTTTTTGAAATCATGCTGTGGTCAATTATTTAATGAAAGGTGCTGGTATAATTAGAGAACATTAAACTCATTCCTGTCATACCATTCACCAAGAGAAATTCCAGATTGTGAACTAAAAAAAAATGTTGTAGCCTGGGCGCGGTGGCTCACGCCTGTAATCCCAGCACTTTGGGAGGCCGAGACGGGCGGATCACGAGGTTGGGAGATCGAGACCACCCTGGCTAACACGGTGAAACCCCGCTCTACTGAAAATACAAAAATTAGCCAGGCGCGGTGGCGGGCGCCTGTAGTCCTGGCTACTCAGGAGGCTGAGGCAGGAGAATGGCGTGAACCCGGGAGGCGGAGCTCGCAGTGAGTAGAGATCGCACCACTGCATTCCAGCCTGGGCAACAGAGCGAGACTCTGTCTCACAAAAAAAAAAAAAGAAATTGTTGTAAAAACTAGAAACTTTTTTTTCTTGGGATTGGAGAAGTTTTTTCTAAGGATACAAGCAATGAAACAGAAAACCCTATGTAAACTCACTCACCTGCCTTTAATGCCATAGTGTGCACACCCCAGCGTGTGTGTTTATGTGTATACATAGACATACATATTTTAAAATGTTTAAATTTGAACATATGTTACTAATACATATAAAACAAAAGTAGAAAATCAAAAAGATGAGGTAAAAATGTTTTGAAATATTGTTTGTGGTATTTGTGGTTAATAAACCTTTACTCTTTCTAAAAAAAAATTTTTTTCTTTTAGAGAGAGTCATGATTAAAAATGCTTGTCATTTTCGAAACTCCTAGTTTTAACACTTCATAAAAACGACTTAATGTTCTTAAGGTAAGTTTATTTTGATGCTTGGTTTTAATGACTATTGTAGCTGAATAAGTCACTTCATTAATTTAGATTTGTGGATCCAAATATGGCTGTGCTTACTGAAAATATTTTTGAGTTCCATCCACCAATTTTGCAAAAGTGTTTGTTGAAATTTTTATAATAAGTTTTCATCTTTTCCAATGTCAGTAACTTGTTTATGCTGAATAATTAGGAGCGCTGCATTTTTATTTTTGCTAAAAATGGGTTCAAAACCTGCTGCAACTTATTTTTGAATTTCATTTCCCAAGTTTAAGTGCACACTTTGAAGAGTTTTTATAGGTGACAATTTTTGGCAACACATTTTCATGAATTCTTGCTTGGTCATCATTAGTATTATGTTATCTTTACCTAGAAGGGTCAGGTTAAATCTGTCCATTTAAAAAAATACCTTCTAGATTGCATATTGCTTACAGACACTTGTCACCACAGGAAAGATTAGCACATTCAAGCCTTTTTATCAATTAAAAAATATATACCATATTTAAGAATTTTGCTATGAGATAACCAGCAAATTTAGGGGTTTAATTTCCTCATCTCATTATAAACTGTTGTCAAGATGCTGTTGTGTAAGATAATAAAAATCTACGTCCAGTTGACTGATGGTGCACACAGACAACAATATTCTGGAAGAGAGTGGTGTCCCTGTTGCTCCCTCTGCGATAAGGAGCTCTCAGCACTTCTTTGAGGATTCCTCACTGACTGGCATGTGCTGCCTGGCCACTACCATGCAGCCTGTGTGTCTGTTATGTATTGGTAAGGCTTCTTTACTCTTAAAAACTTACGTTTTCTTCCTGTACCTCAGTGGATCACCTTGTTCACTTTGGAGATCACGGACTTAAACAATGGGAGAGACTTATATCACCTCACAGAAGTCCCAAGGTTGGGCAGTTCCAGGGCTGATAAATACAATTAATTGATATCCAGGACTTGGATTTCTTCCCACTTTCTGCTCTGCCAGCCTCATTATGTTCACTTTGTCTTCAGTGTTGCTTCCTTCAAGATCTTTACTTGACTGCTGCAGTGGTCAGAATGACAACAAACAGTTGAAGCAGAGAGCCTCTGTTCCCCAGCGTGGCTCTTTTAAGAGCAGTGAAACTTCCCTGAAGCACAGCAGCCCAGTTCCCTTCAGTTTTCATTGAGGGGAATTGGGATAACTCAGGAGAATGGGACCACCGTGGTAGACTTAGACTAAACAGATCTACCCTCCTGGGGCTGGGGCTTGGGACCTGGCTCTAGCTCACATTGGGTTAAGGAGGTGGGGCTGTCTGGATAAAGCCGGGTCTCAGGACGGTGAAGGGGAAGGATGGCTGCTAGTGACTCTTGGCTGCATGAGTCCACTCCATGGGTCTATGACAGCTGCCCATTGGGAGCCTTTGGGAGATGGGAAAACCAAACTCTGACTCCACATCAACTTTGTTTTTACACAACACCAGTCTTTCTGTCTGCTCTTCAGGATGAACCAGTGTGCTTTGGTTTGACAGTCATGGTAGATCATTTCTCCTAGAATGTATAAACACAGAATCCAATCACCCTCCTGACTAGAATAGCCAGGGAGCTATGATTAAAGAAGACAAAGAGTTTACGCTAGCATAGGTGAAAGAAAAAGTCCCTGTCTGAAAAGGATAATTTTTTCTTGGGTATGTCCAGATTCACCCGTAACAAAGCTAAGCAGGATGGTGGTCTGTAACGAGGTGTTGGGAACCAAAAATAGGGCCTTGCCTGTTGAGATAGTGTTTGGTGAACAATCTTGTCCCTAAGACAGCTCAGACAGCATTGGGGAAAGGGAATAGATGTCATCTGAGCACATGTGACACAGTGACAGCTGCTCTTCACTGGATACCTGTCTGCATGGGAGGTGCTTCACTTACGTCTTAGGAACAATCCAGTGAGGCAGTGACCAGCACCACTCTACGGATGTATGGTTAGCAGTTCTGACACGACCCCAGTGACTGCCACTCCCACATTCACACCCTTATGTAGTCCCCTCACCTTGAGTGTGGGCTGGACCCAGCAACTTGCTTCTGATAAAAAGAATGTGGCCCAAGTGATGGACTGTCACTTCTGTGATTAGGTTACAGAAGACTCGTCATTTTGCCGATGTTCTCTCCTCAGCCTTCACTTGACAGGGCCACTGGGCAAGGAACTGAGGGTGTCATCCAGCCAACAGCTACCAAGGAATTGAGGCCTTCAGTCTAACAGCCTGAGAGGATCTAAATCCTGCTGACAGCCTGAGTGAACTTGGAATAGATGTTGGTCTGGTTGAAGCTTGAGATGATTGTGACCCTGGCTGACACCTTGATCACAGCCTTGCAACAAACCCTGAAACAGAATTTAGCTAAGCTGTGCCCAGATTCCTGACCCAGGGAAACTCAGAAATAATTGTGTGGTGTTTTAAGCTACTAAATTTTGGGGGTAATTTGTTAACACAGCAATACAATTATTACAAGGTGAGACAGCCCAGATGTCAGACTTAAATTTAACCTGCCCCAAATCACACAATGGAAGATTTGAACCCCCATCTACAAGGTGATTTGTTTTACTGCTCAGTCCTCCCTCCTGGCATCCTCCAGTACAGGTCAACACTGGGCTGTGGGCCTCTGTTAGACCTAGCAGGGCTGTTCTTAAGACCCTACTAATCATACCTTCCATGGCAATGGTGGTGAAGCCATCCGTGATCATAATAACCTCAGAGGAGAGAGCCTTTTCAGCCAGGGCTCCATGAATAAAGCTTTGCAGAAAAGGGTGTTTGAATAATTTTTGTCACTTTTCCCAAGGATAGTAAACAGCTTCTAGATGCACAGGAGTGAAATTACATATAATGGATGCCTTAGGGCACCAGGGCTATTTAACTGGGCAGGCCACGTCAGGCCAGGGCCCAGGAGAGCCCTCGTGGGTAGGAGACATGAAGGTACCTGAAGACTCAGAGGTGAAGGGAACAAGCAAATGGCAGAGCTGGGATATTGATCAGGACTTCGGAGAGGCAGCACAGTGCAATTGAAAGACCAGATGCTTCAGACCTGATACCTCTGGGGCCAGCTGGTTCCAGGCCCTGGTGAGTTGTGTCTCCCTGGGCAGGTCACTCAGCTCTCTGAGCTTCAGTTTACTCCCCTGTGAAACCATAGTACTCACACTTTCACTGGCGCTTTCAGTTTTTCCCTGGCTAGATGTTTCGCAGCCTTCAGATCTCAGAATAACAGCAGCTACCACTACTGTAACTACTCCCACTGAGTAGTTCCCAGGGGCTTACTGTGCGCCTGGCACCGTACAGAGCACTCGATGCCTCTGTCGTCTCAACTCACAACAGCCTCATTTTCCACTGAGAAAGCTGGAACTCAACAGACATCAACAATCGCTGGTCCTGGACAATTGCTCACTGTCAGTGGTCGATGTAAAGGCTTCAGGACGTAACCATAGCACACGGCCTGGCACGGAGCATGTGCCCAGTGAGTGCCCAATTCCTCCCTATGGCAGATCACAGTGTGCTGCTGCAATGTGGCTCAGCTGTCTGGATGGCAGAAGAGTCCAAGGGCTGTAATAACTCGGCCTCCTTATGCCCAAACAGTGTCATCCTCAGCACAGCCTGTGGACTGTCTGAGGATCTCTGCTGAGGGTGTCTGTGGGCTGTTAGCAGCATTCTCTGTTGGGCAGGGCTCCCTACGCTCTGGGTAGCCTCTGGGCCTGCGGACAGCCCAGTCTAGTGCCCCAGCATTTGGAAAGTGCAAGGTCAGATTTTTGGGACACATTGTGGGGAGAGGGACCCAACAGGGCTGTTAAGAGCATGATCTCTCAGCAGGACCATTGACTCCAGAAAACACAGTTGAGTGGTGTATTAGTCTGTTTTCACTGCCGCCCGAGACTGGGCAATTTACAAAAGAAGCTTAATTGGTCTTAAAGTTCACATGGATGGGGAAGTCTCACTATCATGGTAAAAGGCAAGGAGGAGCACATCAACATCTTACACGGATAGCAGCAGGCAAAGAGTTTGTGCAGGGAAATTCCCATTTTTAAAACCATCAGATCTCGGGAGACACATTCACTATCAGAAGAACAGCACAGGAAAGACCTGCTTCCCTAATTCACCTTCCAGTGGGTCCCTCCCACAACATGGGGAAATTCAAGATTAGATTTGGGTGGGGACACAGCCAGACCATATCAAGTGGCTAATCATCATATGCTGTTCAGAGAGAAGGAGACTCAGGCCAAGGTCAAATATACTAGAGGAGGCTGAATGCTATTGCAGGGAGAGCTCATCCTGGAATCTGGATCAGACAGAATTTTGATTCCACCATTATTAAGTCACTGAGCCACTCTGACCTCCAGTCTCATCTATAAAACAAACTGGCCCATGGTAGTGAACACTCTTTTTTCGGCCTGCTCAGCTGCCATTTGCACTTCTTTATATAATTTTCTTGGGTGAACTGCTTCTCTCTGTTCAACATAGTCCTGGGCGGGGGTGGGTGGGGGGACATCCGGTGAAGGCGTCCTGCCTTCCTCAGCCAGCAGATGGGAATGTACCTGAGCCAATCGGGCCCCTCTCCTGGAGCTGGAATTATGTATGGGGCAATTTGAAATGCAAAAGGCAGGAGCCGGCCCTTCCCAAGAGGAGAGACACCTGCAGCCGGTGCTGGGGCTCTCTGATCCTTGCCCTCCCAAAGGCTGCAGTGCCTCAATGGCCTTTCCTTTTCACTGTAAGGGGTGAGGGTCAGTGTTTGCCGCTCGCAGCCCACATGCCCTAAGACCCCCAGGGGATCCGTGTGTGTTCTTGCTTTCCGTGTAGTCGCTTCCTCATAAGTGAAGTCTTTGTTAGCTGCTTTGAGCATTTCTAAAACAAAGTGGTAAATACATTTATGAGATGGTGGCTTGCCGGTTTCTTCCCTCCGCATTTTCTCTTTGGAAAAAACGGGGGAGACTATCTAGGCTGATCCCCAATCTAGAGTTCCTGGGGTGGAGTGCTGAGGGACAGTCCCCAAGAGCCTGTGATGGTTAATATTGTCAACTTGATTGGAGTGAAGATTGAAAGTATTGTTCCTGGGGGTGTCTGTGGGGGAGTTGTCAAAAGAGATTAACATTTGAGTCAGTGGACTGGGAGAGGCAGACCCACCCTCAGTCTGGGTGGGCACCACCTAATTAGCTGACAGTGTGGCTAGAATAAAGCAGGCAGAAAATGTTGGAGGACTAGACTGGCAGCATCTTCTGGCCTTCATCTTTCTCCCATTCTGGATGCTGCCTTCCCTCGAACATCAGACTCCAAGTACTTCAGTTTTTAGACTCTTGAACTTACACCAGTGGTTTGCCAGGGGCTCTCAGGCCTTCAGCCACTGACTGAAGGCTGCACTGTCGGCTTCCCTACTTGTGAGGTTTTGGGACTTGGACTGGCTTTCTTGCTCCTCAGCTTGCAGACGGCCTATTGTGGGACTTCACCTTGTGATGGTGTGAGTCAATACTCCTTAGTAAACTCCCTTTCATATATTCATCTATCCTTTTAGTCCTGTCTCTCTAGAGGACCCTAACTAATACAGAGTCCTTGATCCCTGATGAGCCACCAGCAGAGAAACCCAAGTGTCCTCTTACAGTGACTGGACTCCCGGGAGTCCTTGCCCAGCTCCAAAGTGAGCTGCATGAGCAGGCTCTGGTGAATGAATGCCTCTGCACGGTTGCTGGCACATCTCTCAAAGCCCTGGTCCAAACCTTTTAATGGACTGCAAAACACTGCTGGCTGCGTCTCTCCCCCAGCTGACCATTTGTAAATTGCTTTCGCCCTGATGTCTGATGGGGTGAAAAATGCATTTCCCATATCCAGGCTGCAGCAGGTGGATTTCTGCCACCACCACAGCAGGAGCTCACAGGGCCAGCCTGGCCAGCCTGGCCAGCCTGTGAGAGAGGACTGGTGTCATTCTAGGAGGGGGTGGGCAGGTGACGGGCCCTGTTCGGGGACCCTTGCCCACGCACCACAGGTTCTAATGGCTGGAATGGGCAGGGGCGAGGGTGGTCCTCTGATCACTGGTCACAGGATCTGCTGGAAGGAACCCTCCACTCCTACCCTGCCTCACTGGGTCTTGAGCAGGACACCGAATCTCAGGCCTAAGTTTTTGTTTTCTAAATGAGGTCCCCACTGAGCGGGTCCTTGCTTTGTGCCTGGCATCTTATTTCTCATGGCCCAGGGGGCAGTGGTTTGTTGCTGTGTCGTACCAGGGCTGTCTGACTCCAGGGGGACGTCGGGTACACTGGTGGCACTGCTAGGCCAGTCTCCCTATTGTCCTCAGGACCATCCCCTCTGACATTGCTGCTCTGCCAGCCTGGGCCCAGCCAGCAGCTGTTGGAGCAGCACCATGGCATCTGCCTTCTTGGAGGGCTGCCGCCTCTCTGTCCCCTTCCTCTGAGTGAGATGGGTGAGAGCTGAATGTTGTCACGTCATCTTCCCGGGGTTTAGCGTGGGTGCTGGTTAGGAGCACAGGCCTCTAAAACTCTGCCTCTGCCTACAGAAGTCTCCATCCCCCAAC